TCGGGGCCCCGGATTCTTTCCCGGTGGCCCTTTTTCCAGGCAGATCTTCTTGGCCCAGGAGTGCCATGGGAGGATGGCCCAAGTGCCTTGGGGCCCTCCACCCCATGGAAAGACTAGGAAGAAACCCCCTGCTCCTTCCCATTGGATTCAGCCACGGTGGTGCCCACCCTCAGCCCCCCAACCGTGGCGGCTATTGGAGGGGTTGATCCCACGGCCAAAAGGAAGAACTTTCTCTCTGTCTCTCTCTCTCACTATCCACTCTGCCTGTCAAAAAAAAAAAAAAAGAGAGAGAGAGAGAGAAGCAGGGTAGCCAGGATTCAAACCAGCACTGTGACACCAGATGCAGTGTCCCTAGGGGCAGCTTAACTCTCTGCATCACAACACCTGCCCCAGTAAAAATTTTTTCAAAAGAAATAAACACCCACACAAGTGGAAAAGGACTTGAAGTTCACTTTCAGCATCGCCCGGTCAGTGATCTACACAGTGCAGGAGAAGCACTGGTGAAGGCTCACGTGAACCTGACTTGGGCCACACTCAGACAAGAAGCTGGAAACCGGCCCTGTGGAATGACAAATGGGTGTGCTCCAAAGACGCCATTGAGCAGTCAGTAAGACCCTGCCCGAGGTTCGTAGTTCTTCACAGTTAGAGGGATGCCTGCACGCTGATGATTCTACCTCGCTGGCAAACCGCACCCTCTGTGGAACGGGCATGGGCAATATTAACCTACAGTTATGTGGCACTTAAGTGGTTTCAGACAACCACAGACTACCTGTGCCACAGTACTCCCATCAGGGTATGATGGAGCCAAAAGAAATCCCTATGACCTCCACACCCCAGCTGTTGTAACGTTGTAGTGCAACCCTTGCTCACCTGTTTGTGGTGTTGTGGTGGTAAGCTTGCGTAGATGAAGGCACATGGCACACACAGTTACAAGCAGTCTGTGACACTTGATGAGCATAAGTCACAATGTTACTAGTTGATATATTCCCTCTACTGTACTTGGTCATTATGTTAGAGCGCACTCTTTCTACCCATAAAACAATTTGCCACTTGCTCATCTTGTGTTTGCTGCTTCTGCTGACTGTTTCAAGAGGCCACGTGGAGAGATGACCATCACTGTCTAGGGCTGTGTCAGTGCCCTCTCTGATGTCCACACAACAAGGAAGTCGGCTCCCGGTGCCGTTCTCGAGTGTGTCCCCATGGGTAAGTGACATGACAGCGTCTCGCTGAGTCTAAGAGGCAAGTCTCCGCCATACATTTTTGGCAGCTGTGCAACTAAGCAAGTGTCTTATGGTCACTGGGGCGAGGTCATTGACACAGTTATCCTTGTGTGACACCTTCTGGTAAGACCCAGAAAGCCCCAGCAACACGTTTGTAGAGTAAGTGTCAGGGACCCGAGAGAAACGGCTGTTCGTAAGAAACACTTCCCCACACTGCTCGTGACAGCGAGAGGGGCACTTTGTGTAGAGAACATTGACATTCCCCAAACATGAGGAGATTGAGTTGAAAATCCCTGAGAGGATTTGGAGCCCATGAAGAAGTTCTGGGAATCACTCAGACACTTTATTTCACTTCTATTTTCCTCTTTAGAAATACCCAAATTTGCAAATACTTCATA